TTTTTTTTTTTTTTTTTTCGTTGTTTTTCGGTCAACTTATGAGGTCAAAATGATATATGATTTTTTCTCAATCAAAAAAAAAAAAAGAGAAGCTTTTTATATGCAAAAATGGAAGGGAAGAAGAAAAACAGCTGAAAACAAAAGCCTAGTAAATTTGAACTTTCTTTGTGGGTCGGTAACTGTGGAAGGGGAGTTCTAAAAAATCCAGTGGAACTGTTGCTGTCTGATGTGTATATGACCCAAAAAGCGTTAGCATTCTGAATCTTTTGGATTCATTTTTTTTTCTTCGTTGCACTTGAAAATTGTATTGTTTGAATGGTGATAGTTGCGGTGGTTTTAAGGCGATGCTTTCTTTTGTTTATTTGAATTTGTTTTTCCGAGTCGTTCATCAGTTTACTTAACAGTATAAACTATTTTTTTCCTCTTTTTTAAAACTTCTTTTATGATTCACTGTCACAAGCTGAGATGGGTTGGAGTGTGAGACGGGGGAAACAGAGAATCAGTGTAATTGTTGTTGAATTATAGCACATTGAAATTGAGATATAAATGTTAACGTAGTTTTTCAAATACATTTTGATGAAATTGTTTTTTTTTCTTTTTCTTGTCACATTTTATTTTTTATTTTATTTATTTACTTATTTATTTTTTGTATATTACCTTCTGTGGTATTTATTTTAATGAACTTACTATTGTACTGTAACTTTAGCTGTTGTTATTGATATTGCTGTAAATGGCTTTATTAGTTTTGGAAGTTTAAATGAAGATAGAAAGGAAAAAAAAAAATTGAGAATAGCGTATGCTATGAATAATAAGCTTTTCTTTAATCATTATAAAAGTTTTAAACAAAAAAAAAAAAAAAAACTGCTAATTTTTTTTTAATGGGCAGTTTCAATTTTGTTCTAAAAAGTATCATTTAAAATCGTTTATGTCTGGAAATTTTTTTATTATTTTCGGCTAGTGTTTTCCAGCCATTGTTTTTTTTTTTTTTTAAATTTATGATTTTATATTATGAAATTATTTTTTCAGCTTTTGAACATCAAATAACTGTTGGTTAAGGCAAGTGAATGACATTGACCATAAACTGCTAAATGAGTGGTCATTTGTTTTCACTGGACGAGTGCATGCTCGAAGGCTTAAAGAGCGTTAGAATATGTCGTCCTCCACCTAGTCTTCCAGCTACAACTACCTCCATTTCGTAGGTTTTCAAGTTCATTAGCATTCTTTATTGCAGCAAATAATTATTATGATGAGTGAAATTTCGCTTTATTATTATTTTTTTAAGCTTATACCAGGGTTTTTTCAAAAAAAAAAAAATTTGATGTTATTTTATAATTTAGGTTAGAAACCGTCGGCAGTTATGTGCTCGAACTAGATTTAAAAATTGGCGACAGTAGGTATAGCAGCATAACGCTTCGTGAGGTGCCTTGGTGAGCAGTTGCTTTTTTGATTGCAAGTTCACTTTTGATTTTTTATTTTTTTTTTTT